AGCCACACCCTCACCACTCAGTCCCTCCCAATCCCATGGAGCAGTCACCCAGCTTAACCCAGCTCTGTGGAGACCTTTGAGAATCTTATCAGGAGAGGGATCTCTCCTCTCCCTCAGACCTCAGCATATGGCATGCACAGCTCTGGCAGTGCTAGATCCTAAGCAGGTCCCAGGTGCCTGGGAAGCAGTCACAGCCCAAGGGGTGGTGGGACACACCTGGGCCCAGGGCTACATCCCCATCCCCCTGCACCCATGGGGCTACATGCTGCCAGGCCACTGCCAGGAGCATTTCAGGAGGATACACAGTCCAGTGCACCTCTGTCATGGTGACATTCCATATCTGTGTAAGGCTTGGCTCCTCCCCAAACTTCCTCTTCAGCAGGGGAGTCACAGTGGCTGTCAGCAGCGTCTCTGCCTGCGAGAAGAGGTGGAAACACACACCATCAGAGATGGTCCCAGGGAACACTGCAGGGCTAATATCCCCCAGTGTCAATCTTGGGTCCCAGCCTTCAGGGACCAGGCAGATCAGACATGGTTAGGCCAGGAGCCCCTCACACCATAACCCTGCAACCCAGGGACAGCTCAACACATTCCCCCTGCCCACACACACCAGTGCTGCACAGCAACAAGGCTATTTATGACAAGTGAGTCATTTGATAAGCAGCATAATTAAGGGAGCCAGGGTGCCTAATGATGTTTGATCTTGTGGTTGGCTTCTCTGGTGTCTAATGAGATGAAGCATATTGGTGTTGTAGTCACCTCTCTCCCTGGGGTGGGTTCTCCAGGGTCTAATAAGGAGTTGAGTTTGCTCAGCATGAAGCATTGGACACTTCCTTTTCAGAATTCCTCTTACAGGGACTTCTTACCCTCAGAGAGGCAAAGAGATGTCAGGCCTCAGTTGAGGTTGGTCTAACATGTTAAAAGAGGCCAAATTCATACCATAGCCCTCACTTCTTCAAGGTGATTGGAACCCCTGTTGTCTGTGCATGATCCAAGCCACCAACAAAACAAGTCAAGCTAACACAAGCTCTGACGCAGCACATGCATGCACTCGGCTTTTGTAGTTAGTCCAAAGAGCTGTGTGCTGTTTGGCCAGAGCTGAAGACAAGCACACAGCCCTCAGCATTTTAACCAAGGCATCCCAAAAGGGTAAGATAAACCCCAAATTACTCCAGCCCTGGGATTCGGACATGCCACTCACAATGCCTGTGTAGACAAGAGTCACCACAGCTGCAGCAACTTCAGCAATGAAGATGATCAGCACCACCGTGAAGAACTAGAGACACAAGAGGAGGTAGGTCAGAGCAGTAGCCATGGTCCACAGGCCCCAGGGTGAACCACTGCACCTGTTTGCTTCCTGAAGGCCAACCTGACCCTCATCCGGGGCTCAAAGCTGTTTTGTGGCATTCAGCTCTTCCAAGACAGAGGGAGCATGAATTTGGGGTCCCCTCAAGCCCTACATCTATAGGGAGTTGACCTCTCCAGGAGGCCAGAGGTCCTTTAAGGGAAACCTGTGCTCAGCAACAGCTTCTGCTTTGCTTCACCCTACCCCAGGGCAGATGTGGAGTTCAGTACTGCCTTTCCAAGGGCCACCCAGCCTTCCACCACATAGGAAGGTCCAGAAAGGATAGCTCCATGGAAGAGTGCAACCCTCCAGCCCCCCCCACCAGAAACCCAGCTCAAGTGAGGCTTGATAAGGAGATAAAGCATTGCTGAGCCTAGTCATGTCCTTACAATCATCAGGAGACACTTGCTCTCTTTCTGGGCTCCATAGCACCCCAGGAAGCCAATCACCAGCAGGATGGCACCGATGACAATGAGGAAGTAGCTCACGTTCACAACCTGCAGGACGCTAGTAGAAAGCGCCCCAAATACATCAAAGAAGGACTTTCCATCCACCGTGACCCAGATTCCAACCCCCAGGAGGGCTGCACCACCAAGCTGGGGGAAGAAGAGACATTAGTTCATGGACAGCTCAAGAAGAGCAGCTAGAGAGAAGGAGCAAGAGTTATCAGTGGGGGAACAACTTTCTCCCTCTAACTGTTTTTGGCTAATTTCAGCCTCTCTTCCGTTTGCACCTAGGGTACCCGGCTGCTGCAGTTTAAAGGCAAAATTTGCTGCCCAGCATAACCCAAGGAGGCAGGGAGGACAGCCGTTGGCTGGAATGAAGACAGACTCCCAGAAACCACCCCCCAACTCATTCCCTGCCCAGGATCCCTACTCTCCAGTGGCTG